AGAACTTCCTGAACCTACCGAGGAGGCGCCGCCGCCAGAACAAGGGCCGCAGCAGATCGAGGTCATCGGTGACGAATACAGTTATCACCGCAACCCTATGAAAGGACTCCCAGCTTCCAAGTGGCTGGAGGCAGCATCCTTTCCACAGCTGCTCGTCACAGGCGATCCCGTTCACGCCGGAGACACGGACGACATCATCGGACTTCCGGACGTGGCCCTGAAACACATCTCCGTTCGAGCCTTCGCAACAGACGCCGATGCTGTCAGCGACAAGGGACCTGGAAAGGAGCAGAACGACGCAGCCGAAAGAAACAAAACTATCAGAGGACCATTGGTTATCGCGCAGAGCCGGATATATGGCATCAACGACTTGGCCACCCTTCACACGTTACACTCAAAAACTCACTCAAGGCCGGAGTCTTCGACGAAGGCGCACTGCTTCTCCCTCGCGGAGGATGTCTCACAGCGGACTCAGCAGATCCGTCGTGTACCGTGTGCCCCGCCGCATCACTTGCCCACAAGCCCTTCCCTGACCTACCCCCTGGCCACGAACGCTACAATCCACTCGATAAAGTCTATAGCGACTTCACGGTTCTCAGTCAAGAAGGGCTCGACGGCAAGTACTACACGCTCACCTTCATCGACGCATGCACACGCTACGTCTAGGCCGTAAACACTGGTTGCCGCTCCCTCGCCTTCGAGTGCTTCGTGGCATGGATGAAGCGGGCCGAACGTCAATCTAGACTGAAGCTGAAAAGCTACCAGACCGACGGTGGCTTGGAGTTTTTCTCATCTAAGTTCAAGGAACTCTTCAAGCACACGGGGATTGAGCACCTGGTGTCCCTGCCCTACGCTCACGAGCAGCAAGGAGTAGCAGAACGGACAAACAGGAGCGTCGCTACCACGATGAGGGCCCTGATGAAGCAGTCGGCCATCCCAACCAAATATTGGCCGTTTGCGATGAACCACGCTGTTCGGCTGCACAACTTGTTGTCCTCCCGAATTCTCGAGAACAACACCTCTCCTTACAAGGCCTGGACAGGCAAGAAAGCTGACACGCATTTGCTTCGAGAGTTCGGCTGCATGGTACGGTACAGGCCATACACAGCAAGGACGGGAAAATTTGCTGACCGGGCACGATGGGGCATCCACCTCGGAATCGAAAGGGAATACAATGCATGGATCGTGCTGGACTACGCGACACACGAAGTGACAAAATCACGTGACTGCATCTTCTACGAGAAGCTGACACTGCCACTATTCAAGGAACACCGCGAAACTGACAAGGCACTAGAAAGGGTTTTTGAAGGCCACCGCAGCTTCGCCACCTCACACGACGAGGTTGACTTGGCGGAAGACACTAACGCAGCAAATGTCACGCAAGTTGACACCGCCCCCAACATCCCCCTTACACGACCACTCAATACTCCAACTTCATGCCTGTCTCCCAATTCGATCCTGATGATACAACTCGAGAAGCCCACAACTACAATAGTGAAGCGCGCCGATCTCCGGATGCCGAGTTACCAGCTCCAAACGCCTCGCAAGACACCATTCGTAGCGGCCACGACAGCGACGACGACGTCGTCGAGGTTACCAGCTTCCACGATTACGATCGTCTCCACTACGAAAAGACCAACGAAACTGGTCTCCACATCCTTGGGCTCGCTGTCGTAGTTTGCCACGCCTCCCCCAAGGAATCTACCACTGTTCGCCAAGCCCTGTCTGGCCCCGATAGTGAGAAATGGAAAGCAGCCATGGCTGCTGAAGTCGCGGCGCTGAAGAAACGCGGAACATGGAAGCTGGTTTCACAATCATCAGCGAAGGGGAGAGAAATTCTCAGCGGCAAGTGGGTTTTTCGCATTAAAACTCTCGCGGATGGCTCCATTGACTAGCACAAGGCAAGATGGGTCGTCCGCGGCTTCGAACAAACTCACCTGGTGGAATTCGACCTGACTTACGCGTCTGTCGAACGACACACCTCGGTGCGCATCCTCATCTGCATCGCAGCCGTTTAGCAGCGACCACTCTGTCAAATCGATGTCGGCAGTGCATTCCTGTACGCTCCCGTCGACGCCATCATCTTCGTCGAGCAGCCACACGCCTTCGAAGAGGCCGACGGCGGCGTCTGCCTCCTCCAGGAATCCCTCTATGGGATCAAACAAGCACCCCGACTGTGGCAGCAGTACTCACGGAACTCGGATTTAAGCAAGTGCCACATGACCTCGGAATGTACAGTAAGGAGTCGCGCGGCAAATTCATTCTCCTCGTCGCCTATGTCGACGATCTATTCTACACCGGCGACGACACAGAGCTGCTGGATCGGTTCGAGGCAGATATTAAGGAGAAGCTCGAAGTGACAGTTAATCACAATGTCACGCAGTTTCTGGGCCTCAACATCACCCTGTCCGCCACCTCCATCCACCTCCCCGCCGCCAAGTATGCGGAAACACTTGCGAAGAAGTTCATCATCGCGCCAATCAACCTCACCACCCCCTTCCGCACTCCTCCCCCTAACCATGAACCCGATACCACACCGCTCTCCATCGAAAATCATCGGCTCTATCAGCAGCAGCTGGGCTGCCTCCTGTTCGCCGCCGTCACGTGCCGGCCGGATCTCTCCTACGTCGCAAGCCAGCTCGCACAGTACCTGAAGCGACCTGAAGGGGAGAACCTACTGGACGTACGCCGAGCACTTCAATACTTCGTCTCTACCCCTGACGTCGGACTCACCTATGAAGCTAACCTCACCGCTACCTTACAGCTTTATGGCTACGTAGACGCAAACCACGCTGGAGACACTGACAACAGATGCTCCCGCACAGGATTCATCTTTCAGCTTCAACCTGCCGGACTCATCTCTTGGAATTCCCAGAAGCAGGAACTCATCGCCCTTTCGTCAGCCGAAGCTGAGTTCATCGCCGCCAGCGCAGCTGTTCGCGAAGGACTGTACCTGATGGAGCTCCTGCAAGAAGCGAAGGTGACGATGAACGGGCACTTCACGTTACTCTGCGACAATCAGAGCGCGATCAAGATCGCGAACAAGCCAGGGTTCGTGAACCGCACGAAGCACATCGCACTCCGTTACTTCTTCGTCAAGGACGAGATCGACAAGGGGAGGGTAAAACTCACGTACTGCCCAACCGGTGACATGGCAGCCAATTTTCTGACGAAGAAACTGCCACATCAAAAGTTCCAGCACTGCATCGACCTCTGCGTGATCTCAAAGAAATCCCACGTGGCTCATCTTCATGAATGAAGGGGACTGTTGGAATAACCGAAAGGTACAGCATTCCCGAAGGATCTCTCCTAGCGCACTAGCTCATAACGAAGCAGTGCTGCTGTATCAGTATCGCTACATGCACGCACAGAGTACTCGGTAGCTTGAGAGACACCCGAAGGTCAACAGTCACCGAAAGTCAACAGTCGTGACTGTTGACCAACCGACAACCGCATCAGAGGTTACGCAATGCAACCAAGTAACTGTCGAAGAATGGCAATAGTCACAGTTAATTAACAATTAACAAGGCTTAATGAACAATTTGTGGGATTTGCTGTGAAAAGCCGTAGGAAAACTAACATAAATTCATTCCTTGGCTATAAAATAACCTCTTCTCTAAAGGGGGGGGGGGGGGGTCTATAATGTTAGCCCTCATTTAGGGGGGTATAACAAAAAACGACCTATTCAGCGTATCCCCTTCCGTATCATAGACCCGGGGTTCTACAACTGGGGGAAGGGTTTTATATCCAGGGTATTACGGTACCAATCATACGGGTAAGTAACACAATTACTCTTAGGGTACATTCCGCTCTGGACATGTACCCTTAGAAAGTGTCCGAATCACTTTTTGCCCGAGTCGCGTTCAATTCTCTCGGAACCTCATGTCCCAATCGAGCAATGTACTGCGACCCTGAACGACTGAGCGACAATTATACGTGCTCGAATCTGATTGGTTATCTTTGTGAGTGGCCCACACATCTTGCTCGATCTTGTGAGTGACTGTAGGATGATGACCAGATACATGCAGCCTTGATTGACATTTGGCACCGCGTGCGAGGGCTGGTGTGTGTCGCGCTGGCCAGCAATTAGCCCGCGATTGTTCCGTCTTTCACGTCACTCAATGATAAATACGGTTTGCGACATTCACGTGCGGTCCGACATTCGGACACATGGCACCATATGATGTAAGTACGCGTCACAATCGATTCGGACACTTTCTAAGAGTACATGTCCAGAGCGGAATGTACCCTTAGTACAAACCATATGGGTAAGTAACGCATATATGAGGCTAAGAAGTTCGTGGCTACTTTGCTGCCTCCTTGACTTATATCAGGTTACAAGTGTACCAGTTGCCTATCAGCATTATCAGGTATTAAGACAACGAACCGGTAACAGGACCAGGACTGTTGACGGGGCAGTGCTATTGGTCAGGCACTTGTGTAAGAAAGTTCTTCTTCACCTGCAGCCATGCGATCGAGCAGTGGAGAGAGCGATTGTGGCACATGGCAAGCAGCAAGCATGCACGGACTCACAGCCGTCCGGGGCACAGGAGGGGGGCCGGGGCACAGGAGGGGGGCAGCTACGAGCACAGAACAGATGGGTGCAGAACGTGGGTGGACTGAACGCAGAGTGCACGCAAGTAAGGAGTTCCGAGTGCATGTGAGTAGAGTGCGCGTGGGCAGTGTGAGCTGGAGGGCATGAATGTGCGGTGCATGGCAAGGAGAGCAGCGCGTGGAGGTGGGGGCAGAGGCACCTGCTCGAGGGTGAGGAACATGATGACATTCCACGAGCCCAGGCGGCCGAAGTTGGGGATGAAACCCTTGTAGAACGCCAGCACGCCCTGGGGGGGTGGAGGGGGCGAGGGGGAGAGGGGGTGGCAAGACGGAACACATGCAGCATACCGTTGGCATTGGAGAGGTGCTGCACATGCCACAGCCTACACGTGTTACATGCCACTCGCACATGGTTGCATGAGAGCCATGATTGCATGAGAGTCTGCATGGACTTGTGCGGTGGAGACAGCAGGCACGACACCACGCAGACGCACAGACACGGAAGAGCAAGCAGCTTCTGGGCTGAGAGGGGCTCTCGCAGCCACTGCTCACCTGAGCCGGTGGACGCGCTGTCATCCATGTGGGCCTCTGTTTTCACCACTCTGGTGCCTCTCAGCCTGCATCTACTCCTGAGTGGCACTAAAGCACGCTCACCTGGTGGCCCTGCAGCACGCTCACCTGGTGGCCCTGCAGCACGCTCACCTGGTGGCCCTGCAGCACGCTCACCTGGTGGCCCTGCAGCACGCTCACCTGGTGGCCCTGCAGCACGCTCACCTGGTGCGCGCTTGCACTCACGCTTCATTCGCACATGGAAGGAGCACTTGAAAGAGGACGGGGGAGAGCGTGCGCAAATCGGGCTAGCAGCAGCAGCAGCAGCAGCAGCAGCAGCAGCAGCAGCAGCAGCAGCAGCAGCAGCAGCAGCAGCAGCAGCAGCAGCAGCAGCAGCAGCAGCAGCAGCAGCAGCAGCAGCAGCAGCAGCAGCAGCAGCAGCAGCAGCAGCAGCAGCAGCAGCAGCAGCAGCAGCAGCAGAAGCAGCAGAAGCAGCAGCAGCAGCAGCAGCAGCAGCAGCAGCAGCAGCAGCAGCAGCAGCAGAAGCAGCAGCAGCAGCAGCAGCAGCAGCAGCAGCAGCAGCAGCAGCAGCAGCAGCAGCAGCAGCAGCAGCAGCAGCAGCAGCAGCAGCAGCAGCAGCAGCAGCAGCAGCAGCAGCAGCAGCAGCAGCAGCAGCAGCAGCAGCAGCAGCAGCAGCAGCAGCAGCAGCAGCAGCAGCAGCAGCAGCAGCAGCAGCAGCAGCAGCAGCAGCAGCAGCAGCAGCAGCAGCAGCAGCAGCAGCAGCAGCAGCAGCAGCAGCAGCAGCAGCAGCAGCAGCAGCAGCAGCAGCAGCAGCAGCAGCAGCAGCAGCAGCAGCAGCAGCAGCAGCAGCAGCAGCAGCAGCAGCAGCAGCAGCAGCAGCAGCAGCAGCAGCAGCAGAAGCAGCAGAAGCAGCAGAAGCAGCAGCAGCAGCAGCAGCAGCAGCAGCAGCAGCAGCAGCAGCAGCAGCAGCAGCAGCAGCAGCAGCAGCAGCAGCAGCAGCAGCAGCAGCAGCAGCAGCAGCAGCAGCAGCAGCAGCAGCAGCAGCAGCAGCAGCAGCAGCAGCAGCAGCAGCAGCAGCAGCAGCAGCAGCAGCAGCAGCAGCAGCAGCAGCAGCAGCAGCAGCAGCAGCAGCAGCAGCAGCAGCAGCAGCAGCAGCAGCAGCAGCAGCAGCAGCAGCAGCAGCAGCAGCAGCAGCAGCAGCAGCAGCAGCAGCAGCAGCAGCAGCAGCAGCAGCAGCAGCAGCAGCAGCAGCAGCAGCAGCAGCAGCAGCAGCAGCAGCAGCAGCAGCAGCAGCAGCAGCAGCAGCAGCAGCAGCAGCAGCAGCAGCAGCAGCAGCAGCAGCAGCAGCAGCAGCAGCAGCAGCAGCAGCAGCAGCAGCAGCAGCAGCAGCAGCAGCAGCAGCAGCAGCAGCAGCAGCAGCAGCAGCAGCAGCAGCAGCAGCAGCAGCAGCAGCAGCAGCAGCAGCAGCAGCAGCAGCAGCAGCAGCAGCAGCAGCAGCAGCAGCAGCAGCAGCAGCAGCAGCAGCAGCAGCAGCAGCAGCAGCAGCAGCAGCAGCAGCAGCAGCAGCAGCAGCAGCAGCAGCAGCAGCAGCAGCAGCAGCAGCAGCAGCAGCAGCAGCAGCAGCAGCAGCAGCAGCAGCAGCAGCAGCAGCAGCAGCAGCAGCAGCAGCAGCAGCAGCAGCAGCAGCAGCAGAAGCAGCAGCAGCAGCAGCAGCAGCAGCAGCAGCAGCAGCAGCAGCAGCAGAAGCAGCAGCAGCAGCAGCAGGGGTGGCAGGGGCAGCAGGGGCGGTGGCACGCACGTCGTTGCGGAAAGTCTTGACGAAGCAGTCGAGCGTGCCCTTGTACTGCCCGCTGCTGTCGCCCATCACCCGCGACTTCACCTGCCCGCCCACGCCAGTGGGGAGGTGGTGGGGAGGCAGGGGGGGAGCGAAGGGCAAAGGGATTAGGTACAAGAGAAGAGAGTGATATGAGCAGACGAGAAGAGCAGCGGACCCTGGCACTGCCACGTGCACTCACCTGGTGGGCCGACGGCAGCCGAGGAGACAGCACGAGGAGGGCGCCGAGTAGAATAGAGGGCAAGTTTGGGCAATCAGATGAATGGAGAAATTTGAGATGATTGGGCCAGCAGCAGTGCGACAACGCAGCAGGACTCGAGAGAGGAATACGGGGAAGGGTGAGAGGAATACGGGGAAGGGTGAGAGGAATATGGGGAAGGGTGAGAGGAATATGGGGAAGGGTGAGAGGAATATGGGGAAGGGTGAGAGGAATATGGGGAAGGGTGAGAGGAATATGGGGAAGGGTGAGAGGAATATGGGGAAGGGTGAGAGGAATATGGGGAAGGGTGAGAGGAATATGGGGAAGGGTGAGAGGAATATGGGGAAGGGTGAGAGGAATATGGGGAAGGGTGAGAGGAATATGGGGAAGGGTGAGAGGAATATGGGGAAGGGTGAGAGGAGTGTGGGAAGTGGGGGGGAGTGGGTATGGGAGATGGGAGGGGGAGTATGGGGAGGAGCGGAGGAAGGGATGGATGTTTAAAACGAGAGAGCACTGAGAGAGGCGTGCGGTGAGAGGGCACGAGTGAGAGGGCACGAGTGAGAGGGCACGAGTGAGAGGGCACGAGTGAGAGGGCACGAGTGAGAGGGCACGAGTGAGAGGGCACGAGTGAGAGGGCACGAGTGAGAGGGCACGAGTGAGAGGGCACGAGTGAGAGGGCACGAGTGAGAGGGCACAAGTGAGAGGGCACGAGTGAGAGGGCACGAGTGAGCAGCAAGAGATGTGCAGCAGGAAGTATGAGTGGCAGGCGGGGTGAGCGGCAGGTGGGGCGGCAGGCGGGGCGGCAGGTAGGGCGGCAGGTGGGGCGGCACGGACCACATCGACGGGCGAGCCGATGCAGACAGAAGAAGAAACCGGCGCCCAGCCCAGCGATGAGGTGCGTCACCACGTTGTCGCCGAAGCCCGGTACCTTGAGCAGCGTCTGGTGGGGGAGGAGAGAGGCAGGTGAGGGCACGGCAGGGAGGAGAGAGGCAGGTGAGGGCACGGCAGGGAGGAGAGAGGCAGGTGAGGGCACGGCAGGGAGGAGAGAGGCAGGTGAGGGCACGGCAGGGAGGAGAGAGGCAGGTGAGGGCACGGCAGGGAGGAGAGAGGCAGGTGAGGGCACGGCAGGGAGGAGAGAGGCAGGTGAGGGCACGGCAGGGAGGAGAGAGGCAGGTGAGGGCACGGCAGGGAGGAGAGAGGCAGGTGAGGGCACGGCAGGGAGGAGAGAGGCAGGTGAGGGCACGGCAGGGAGGAGAGAGGCAGGTGAGGGCACGGCAGGGAGGAGAGAGGCAGGTGAGGGCACGGCAGGGAGGAGAGAGGCAGGTGAGGGCACGGCAGGGAGGAGAGAGGCAGGTGAGGGCACGGCAGGGAGGAGAGAGGCAGGTGAGGGCACGGCAGGGAGGAGAGAGGCAGGTGAGGGCACGGCAGGGAGGAGAGAGGCAGGTGAGGGCACGGCAGGGAGGAGAGAGGCAGGTGAGGGCACGGCAGGGAGGAGAGAGGCAGGTGAGGGCACGGCAGGGAGGAGAGAGGCAGGTGAGGGCACGGCAGGGAGGAGAGAGGCAGGTGAGGGCACGGCAGGGAGGAGAGAGGCAGGTGAGGGCACGGCAGGGAGGAGAGAGGCAGGTGAGGGCACGGCAGGGAGGAGAGAGGCAGGTGAGGGCACAGCAGGGAGGAGAGAGGCAGGTGAGGGCACGGCAGGGAGGAGAGAGGCAGGTGAGGGCACGGCAGGGAGGAGAGAGGCAGGTGAGGGCACGGCAGGGAGGAGAGAGGCAGGTGAGGGCACGGCAGGGAGGAGAGAGGCAGGTGAGGGCACGGCAGGGAGGAGAGAGGCAGGTGAGGGCACGGCAGGGAGGAGAGAGGCAGGTGAGGGCACGGCAGGGAGGAGAGAGGCAGGTGAGGGCACGGCAGGGAGGAGAGAGGCAGGTGAGGGCACGGCAGGGAGGAGAGAGGCAGGTGAGGGCACGGCAGGGAGGAGAGAGGCAGGTGAGGGCACGGCAGGGAGGAGAGAGGCAGGTGAGGGCACGGCAGGGAGGAGAGAGGCAGGTGAGGGCACGGCAGGGAGGAGAGAGGCAGGTGAGGGCACGGCAGGGAGGAGAGAGGCAGGTGAGGGCACGGCAGGGAGGAGAGAGGCAGGTGAGGGCACGGCAGGGAGGAGAGAGGCAGGTGAGGGCACGGCAGGGAGGAGAGAGGCAGGTGAGGGCACGGCAGGGAGGAGAGAGGCAGGTGAGGGCACGGCAGGGAGGAGAGAGGCAGGTGAGGGCACGGCAGGGAGGAGAGAGGCAGGTGAGGGCACGGCAGGGAGGAGAGAGGCAGGTGAGGGCACGGCAGGGAGGAGAGAGGCAGGTGAGGGCACAGCAGGGAGGAGAGAGGCAGGTGAGGGCACGGCAGGGAGGAGAGAGGCAGGTGAGGGCACGGCAGGGAGGAGAGAGGCAGGTGAGGGCACGGCAGGGAGGAGAGAGGCAGGTGAGGGCACGGCAGGGAGGAGAGAGGCAGGTGAGGGCACGGCAGGGAGGAGAGAGGCAGGTGAGGGCACGGCAGGGAGGAGAGAGGCAGGTGAGGGCACGGCAGGGAGGAGAGAGGCAGGTGAGGGCACGGCAGGGAGGAGAGAGGCAGGTGAGGGCACGGCAGGGAGGAGAGAGGCAGGTGAGGGCACGGCAGGGAGGAGAGAGGCAGGTGAGGGCACGGCAGGGAGGAGAGAGGCAGGTGAGGGCACGGCAGGGAGGAGAGAGGCAGGTGAGGGCACGGCAGGGAGGAGAGAGGCAGGTGAGGGCACGGCAGGGAGGAGAGAGGCAGGTGAGGGCACGGCAGGGAGGAGAGAGGCAGGTGAGGGCACGGCAGGGAGGAGAGAGGCAGGTGAGGGCACGGCAGGGAGGAGAGAGGCAGGTGAGGGCACGGCAGGGAGGAGAGAGGCAGGTGAGGGCATGGCAGGGAGGAGAGAGGCAGGTGAGGGCACGGCAGGGAGGAGAGAGGCAGGTGAGGGCACGGCAGGGAGGAGAGAGGCAGGTGAGGGCACGGCAGGGAGGAGAGAGGCAGGTGAGGGCACGGCAGGGAGGAGAGAGGCAGGTGAGGGCACGGCAGGGAGGAGAGAGGCAGGTGAGGGCACGGCAGGGAGAGGGGGGGGCAGCGTGAGATAGAGATGAGAGAGATGTCGAAGTGCAGCACACATGCTTCATCTGCATCTGCTCACACCGCCTACCTGCTTGATCTGGTCGTAGCTGGCGAGCTCAGCGGCGTTGATGATGGCGTTGCGCGCGATGTTGGGCCCCACACCCGTCCACAGCGCTGCCACACCCTCCTGCCATGCAGCACCGTGCCATGCCGCACCGTGCCATGCCACACCGTGCCATGCCGCACCGTGCCATGCCACACCATGCCATGCCACACCATGCCATGCCGTGCCATGCCATGCCATGCCATGCCACGCCACGCCAAGCCAGCAGCGGTGGCAGTCAAAAGGAACAAGACTGATTATTGATTTCCTGCTTTGAATCTTTCTGTGCCCTGAAACGTGATCATTCAGATTTCAGCTCTTAAGACTGGGGAAGAGTTTGAGGGACGTGCATGCGAGGGAGGACAATGGTGGACGCAGAATGAGAGATGAAGGAGACGAGGCTGAGAACCACACCACACACACAGCAAGCCCCTTGCTGCTCCCTCCTACACGCCACGCCACCTCTCCCATCTCCCCCACACTCCACCTGCCATCCCTGCTAGGCGTCGTGGCATGGCATCTGACCTGGCGGGCGATGGTGGCATCTGACCTGGCGGGCGTGGTGGCATCTGACCTGGCGGGCGATGGTGGCATCTGACCTGGCGGGCGATGGTGGCATCTGACCTGGCGGGCGATGGTGGCATCTGACCTGGCGGGCGATGGTGGCATCTGACCTGGCGGGCGATGGTGGCATCTGACCTGGCGGGCGTGGTGGCATCTGACCTGGCGGGCGATGGTGGCGTAGGCGTTGAGAGCGCCCGAGTAGCGCTTGGGTGTGCCGGGCGGCAGGCGCCCCTCCGACTGCAGACGCACCTTCACCAGATCCGTGGGGTTGGCGATCGCTATTCCCACCGCGCCTGGTGCGTGGTGCATGCCGTACGCATGGTGCATGGTGGTGGTGCATGGTGCATGGTGGTGGTGCATGGTGCGTGGTGCATGGTGCATGGTGCATGGTGCGTGGTGCATGGTGCATGGTGCATGGTGGATGGTGGATGGTGGATGGTGGATGGTGGATGGTGGATGGTGGATGGTGGATGGTGGATGGTGGATGGTGGATGGTGGATGGTGAAGAGATATTGAAAGCACTTGAAAGGAGGTCGTTGTTGGGTTGAGGCGTTCAAAGAAACGAGCTTAACATGTGAGCACAGGCAATGGACGAGCACAGTGTAGCAGGAGTGGGAAGAGTGCAGCAGGAATAGTGGGAGGCGGGGAGCAGGGAGGCGGGGAGCAGGGAGGCGGGGAGCAGGGAGGCGGGGAGCAGGGAGGCAGGGAGCAGGGAGGCGGGGAGCAGGGAGGCGGGGAGCAGGGAGGCAGGGAGCAGGGAGGCGGGGAGCAGGGAGGCGGGGCACCTGTGGTGAGGGCGGCGGCGATCTTCATGGTGAGCGGCACGTCGCCCCTGTGGTCCTTGCCCACGAACAGTGCCTTCACCTGCCCGCCCCACGGAAGGGGGCACGTGGCAGAGGGAAAGGGACACGGGGCCGAGGGCACGGGACGGGAGCAGCAAGGAGCGCAGAGAGTTGAGCGTTGAGTGCAAGGCGGCATTCAACACATGACATCACAGCGCACCTTGCTGTCATGCGCCATGCTGACAGCTCGCCATGTGCTGCTGGCATCGACAGGCACTAGAGTCGGCAGCACACCCGCGGGTCACCGGGTGGCAGAGAGCGCGTGGAAGCTCACGGGGTGGCAGAGGGCGCATGGAGACGCACCGGGTCGTAGAGGCCCACTCACCGGGTCGTAGAGGCCCACTCACCGGGTCGTAGAGGCCCACTCACCGGGTCGTAGAGGCCCACTCACCGGGTCGTAGAGGCCCACTCACCGGATCGTAGAGGCCCACTCACAGGGTCGTAGAGGCCGATGCGCAGGCCGCCATAGACGCACTGGCGGTGCAGCCCCGGCACGAGCCCCTTCCACAACGCCGACAGCCCCTCCTCGCGCGCGATCGTCCCCATTGTCCCCACCATCCCGCGGTACTTCACCACGCCCCCCGCCCCGCCCGCCCCGCCCGCCGCCTTGCCCTGCAGCTGCAGGCGCACCTTGGCCGTGTCGATGGGCAGCGTGCAGAACTGCGCGGGAGGGGGGGGGGGGGGGGGGAGCGTGGTGGGGAGCGTGGTGGGGAGCGTGGTGGGGAGGGGAAGGGGAGATTGGAGAAATGGGCTCACGAGGCTGCTGGCTACTCGACACGCGGCTGCTGGCTACTCGACACGCGGCTGCTGGCTACTCGACACGCGGCTGCTGGCTACTCGACACGCGGCTGCTGGCTACTCGACACGCGCTTCACCCCAACGCCGCCAACGGAAGGGAGGGCGACGCGGGGTGACGGAAATCGAAATGAGCAAATGGTGAGCTTGCGGGCCGAGCGCGCGATGCGAGCGGGCGGAGGGAGGCAGAGCGGCGAGGGGCGCCGCGGATCTCACCTCGGCGAAGCACGCGGATATGGCGCTGCTAGCGAGAATGCCATAAACGGGTACGTACATCCGCTTCCCGTCCACCACCACCTCCCCGCTGCCGCCGCCTCCCCCCATTCCGCGCGATCGCGATCCGCACGGCCGCCTGATGCCGGTCGGTAGGGAAACAGCTGATCGCACGCGAGGTGGGCACGCGTGGGGGGAGAGCGAATGTGGGATCGAGACGGCGCGAGCACGCGGGCAGCACGGCGCGAACTCCGATGGAACTCGTCGCAGCGTGCGGTGCGGATGCGCGTTGCGGACGGCGACCAATTGATAAGAAAAGGCGCGGCGAGCTCGCCGTGCTGTCCGCAGCAGCTGAGCGACAGAGGCCTAGGAATTCTCGCGAGGCCTAGGTTCTGCAGATTCGGGGCGAGCGAGGAAGGCTGGCGCACGGCGATGAGATATGGTGGTGGCGGCGGGGAGCGGCACGGAATGGAGTGGACAGGCAAACGCGTGTGCGTGGTTGGTGTGGCAGGACCAAGGCTAGGCTTGGAGCAGAGACTCACACGCTGGTGGGCATGGGGGGACGTAGGTAGGGAGCGAGGCGTGGGAAGGCGGAATATCGAAGGGAGGTGTGGAATATCGAGGTACGCATGGCGAGGCAAGAGCAGCTCTCGATTGTGTCACCTTGGGCGCACTCTGAATTGCCAGGTTGGCTAAAGCATGCCCTCCCGCCCAGGGAGGCTGTTAGGCCCGCTGGCCTAAATCCGCTAAAGAATTAGCGGGGTCGACTAAGTCGAGGATGAAGCGCGGCGGAAGACTTTGGCGAAAGAACTACTAGCGAAATAGGCGAAGGAGTTACTGAGTAATTGAAGAAGAGTTGAATGAGAATTGGTTGATAATGCCAAGTACAAGCAAGGTTTATAAAGCATGCAAGAAACAAGGTTGGAAAGTGGATTGTGGGACCAAGAATTGTAGTGCAAGAAAAGTAGAGTGCCACGTGGCACTAGAGAATCTGAGAAGATAAGGATAAGGGTGACTTGGAAAGTACTGTTCGGAATGAACAGTAAATCCCCCCTTAACAGAGGCCGTTGTTGATTGGTGGCGGCGTACGAGGAATAGGAATAGAAATATATTATGATCTTAATCATTTACAAAATAACCACAGAGGAGCTAAGAATATGGCTGCACCGGCCAACAACTGTTTGGCGTACGTGTTGAACACGTTATTCCCCTATTTTAGCGGACAGCCACCAGCGTCGCTGGGGAGCACTCTGTGGGGAGCCTAGAGCAGGTTAAGGGTGACGAAATGGATTTCCAAGGAGCCAGGAGATGCGGAGGTCGGGATGTATGGAAGGGGAGCCGTCTGTCAAATGTTCTAGCCGTTAGTGGGTTGTGCAGTAGGGGGTACAAACAGTTAGGGTTAGGAATATGTACCCCAATCCACTCAATGCAACTCATTCCGCTGTTTTCAGTTCATGAGATGGTATCAGCAGTAGGTTCGCCGTTCCTAGGCCACACCCAGTCTCCGCCGTTCCTAGACTTAGGTCGTCTCTAGCCTTGGCGTGCCCCCCCCTGACAGAATCACTAGCCAAGAATGACGAAAGAGAGGTTTCACTAGCAGCAGTTGGGGTACATATAGCAAACCCTAACTGGGTTGTACTCGTTATAGAGCACCCCACTACAGGCTAGATAATAACATTCTGACACACCCCCATAGCCAAAGTGGGGTGTAATCAGCACAATGAGCAGACATAGTAATAGTTCACAATTATAAGCAAAGCTAGAGGCGATCACCGAGGGCAAGTGAGGAGGAGGAGGAATTGTGAAGGGAGGGAAGATGGGAGACGACGGCTGAAGCTGCAGACACACGGGCAACAGGAGGACTGGCACAGTGGCTACCGAGCGCACGAGGGCACCGGACTACGGGAGTATCTGGCTCCGCGGCTACGACGAGCGGCAGGAGCAACGGACCCACAGGCGACTGGCACAGCAAGGCTCTCTGGGCTACCGAGAGCACGACGGCTCCGGACTACAGGCGCTGCACACGACACGACGGCGGCCTCCTCTCAGCCTCCCCAAACAGTCCCACCTCCTTTCCACACACCCCCTGCTGCACCCCTAGCTCCACTCCCACGTCACCCCCCTTAAACCCTAAACCCTCGGCTCCCACACACCCACCCCCCTCAGCGGCAGCTGCAGCAGTGGGAGACGGAGGAGGAGGAGGAGCTGCAGGTTACCCACACCGGTCACCCCCATGCCCGCCACCCCCAAACCCTAACGCAGGCAGGAGCGCGGGAAACAGCAGGGGCGGCTGGGTGTCTCCTGGGCGCCACGAAGAAGCAGGGCGCGGGCCCCCCGAGGGCGCCACGGCGGGTGACGGGAGGGGGGCCGCGCACGGGCCCCCGAGGGCGGCTCGACCGGCGACAGGAGGGGCCGCGCGCGGGCCCCCAAGGCGCCGCGACGAGGCGACGGGAGGGGGCGGCGCGCGGGCCCCCAAGGTGCCGCGACGAGGCGACGGGAGGGGGCGGCGCGCGGGCCCCCAAGGTGCCGCGACGAGGCGACGGGAGGGGGGGGACGCGCGGGCCCCCAAGGCGCCGAGATGAGGCAACAGGAGGGGCCGGCGCGCGGGCCCCCAGGGCGCCGCGACGAGGCGACGGGAGGAGGACGACGGGGGGCAGCGCGCAGGTCCCCGGGGGCGCCACGACGGGCAGGAAACCGCCGCGCGCCTCGGGGCGCACGGCGGGCAGAAAACCGCCGTACGCCCCGAGCGCACGGCGGGATGAAGAAGACGGCGCGCGCCCGAGGCGCGCGAGAAGCAGAACAGCAGCGGAAGCAGTTAGGTGGCGGGCCCACCCACAGGATCGACCCAAGGGGGTCGACCTGCTCTGATAGCATGTCAGAATCACTAGCTAAGAATGACGAAAGAGAGGTTTCACTAGCAGCAGTTGGGGTACATATAGCAAACCCTAACTGGGTTGTACTCGTTATAGAGCACCCCACTACAGGCTAGATAATAACATTCTGACACCCCCCCCCCCCCTCTCTCCTCCCCGTCTGCCCTAAGCATGCTAGCCAGCAGGCCCGCCAGCGCCCTAGCCAGCAGGCCCGCCAGCGTGTACGCCAGCGCCCTAGCCAGCGCGCACGCCAGCGCGCACACCAGCGCGCCACGCCAGTGCACCCGCCAGCGCGCACGCCAGCGCGCCACGCCAGCGCACACGCCTGCGCGCACGCCAGCGCGCACGCCAGCGCGCCACGCCAGCGCGCACGCCAGCGCGCCCGCCAGCGCGCGCGACATCGCGCCCGCCAGCGCGCACGCCAGCGCGCACGCCAGCGCGCCACGCCAGCGCGCACGCCAGCGCGCCACGCCAGCGCGCCACGCCAGCGCGCCCGCCAGCGCGCCACGCCAGCGCGCACGCCAGCGCGCACGCCAGCGCGCCACGCCAGCGCGCCCGCCAGCGCGCCACGCCAGCACGCACACCAGCGCGCCACGCCAGCGCGCCACGCCAGCGCACACGCCTGCGCGCACGCCAGCGCGCACGCCAGCGCGCCACGCCAGCGCGCACGCCAGCGCGCCCGCCAGCGCGCACGCCAACGCGCATGCCAACGCGCACGCCAGCGCGCCACGCCAGCGCGCACGCCAGCATGCCACGCCAGCGCGCCACGCCAGCGCGCCCGCCAGCGCGCCACGCCAGCGCGCACGCCAGCGCGCACGCCAGCGCGCCACGCCAGCGCGCCCGCCAGCGCGCCACGCCAGCACGCACGCCAGCGTGCCATGCCAGCGCGCCACGGACGGCCCACCCGCCAGCGTACCCTGCCGCGCCACCCGCCGGCCAGCGCGCCGCGTCGCCCGCGAGTCAGCGCGCCGCGCCGCCCACCTGTCTGCATGCCGCGCCGCCTGCCCGCCTGCGCGCCTGCCCTCACACCACTGACTGTCTCACCCTCCCGCGGCTGGCAGCCGCGTTCTCTCACTTTCGCCCCCTATGGCGACCTCCCGAGTACTTCGCTTTGACCCTGAGGGGAGACCGATTGACTTTAGTACGTGGCTTACGCAGGCGCAGCGCCACCTTAAGAGCCAGCGGCAGGATGGCGTGCACCTGTTCGCACACGCGTCCGGCACTCAGACCGCCCCTCCGCAGCCTAAACCGCTGCTTATTACCCCACCGCCTACTCCTGAGCAGGAGGCCGAGTACCAGCGTCGGTTCTTAGCTCGGGACGTGTGGGAGTCTCGTGACGCCGCTGCCTGCCTCGCCCTGACCGACCTTCTCCCGCCGACAGAGGCGGTCCACTTCACTTAGGTCGAGTCCGCCGCCGATCTGTATAAGGCCATTGTTGCTCGCTACTCCACTCCCTCCTCTGCCTCCCTCAGCCGCCTTCTCGTCCCCTTTATCTACCCTGACCTCGCCTCCTTTGAGACTGTTTCCGACCTCGCTACCCACCTTCGCTCCCTTGACGCTCGCTTTCGCGCTGCTTGCACTGAGGACCAGCTTGCCCTTGCCCCGCCCCCTATGTGGCTCACTATTCACTGGCTAGTCACTCGCCTCCCTGACCGCCTAGCCACAGCCCGCGACGCACTTCTTCTGTAGCACCCCACTGAGCTTACTATCGATCTTCTTGAGACTGCTCTCTCGAAGATCGAGAGTAACCTCCTCACTGTTGCCTCTGCCTCTTCCGCGCCTCCTCCTCGTCTCTTTGAGGGGTGTGCGGTGCCGCAGCTTCCCACCTTCACTGCCTCACTTGCCACCCCCCGCGCCTCCCCCTCGTCTCTGGCGGACAGAAACGTGGCAAGGCCGGTAAGAAGGGCGGGAAGGGCGGCGGGGGTACTGGAGGTGGTGCGGGTAGTGGCGGTGGCGGTGGAGCAGGTGGTGGGAGTGGTGGTGGGGGTGGCTCGGGACCTGACGGCCCTCCTCTCGAGGGTGCCGTTTTCACTGGTGGTGAGGGGTTCCAGCAGCAGCAGCAGCCGGCTTCTCAGCAGCTGCCACCGCCTGGACAGCAGCAGCGGCAGGGACAGCAGCAGCAGCGACAGGGCCAGCGGCAGTGCCCACCACAGCAGTAGCCCTCCGCAGCAGTGGGGCCCTCCGCAGCAGTGGAGGTCCGCGGGTCCCCCGAGCACTGGGCGCAGTGGCGCCCCCTCCAGCTGGGGACCTCGCTCGGCCGGCCGCGACGTTGGTCCCTGTGAGTACTGGATCCTTACGGGTCCACGTAGGGACTCGTACTGTGGCCGCCCTGACCACTCTGCTGCACGCTGCTTCAGTTGTCTCAACGACCTCTACCGCTTGCACCACGGCCCCTCTGCTCCCCCGCCGCCACGCTGGGGGACACTTCTTGCTCGTGGCATCTCTGTTTTTGATATGCCTATGGATGATGCTAGGTCTTATGTCATGTATGCTGATGTTGACTATAGTGCTCCTGGATCTGTGTACTTGCCTGTACCTAGCGTAGGATCTTTGCCTGTTGCTAGAGTAGGTGCTAGTGTAGGATCTTGTTTAGCTACTAGTACAGGTGCTCCCTCGGCGGACGCGTCTCTCTCCTTCACACTGGACTCAGGAGCGACGTAGTGTTTCTTCCGTGACCGCACGACTCTCCCTCCACTGCCGGCGCCAGTCTCTATAGCACTGGCCGATCCCTCCTCGGGACCGGTCATTGCGACTCACGCCACTACCCTCCCGTGCCCAGCTGCCCCTTCCGGTTCCCTGACTGGCCTCCACGTTCCTACGTTCTCTAGGAACCTGGTTGGTGTGGGCCCCCTGGCGAGACAGCACGTCGGGGTCTGGGTTGAGCCTTCTGGTGACACCGCGGTCTGTGTGGACGGTGACACGTACGCCCCCTTGGCCACTTTTCGCCAGGAGCCGGGCTCCGGTCTGTACACCCTCCACACCGACCCCCGTCAGGTTCCTCCGTCCCACCAGGTAGCCGAGTCCAGTCAGGTTGCTGTGTCCGGTCAGGTTGCTGCGTCGTGCTCGTGTCGGTCGCTTGCCCACCCCTCCCTCCTCTGGCACCACCGCCTTGGTCACCCGTCCCTCCCTCGTCTCCGCGCTATGTCCAGTCAGCGTCTTGTCTTAGGCCTCCCCCGAGTCCTCCCGCCACTCCCGCCGTCCCCAGCTCCTCCGTGTGGTCCTTGTGTCCAGGGTCGGCTGCGCGCCACCCCTCACTCCTCCTCCCTTCGTCCGGCCACCGAGCCCTTCGAGACTCTCCACTTAGACGTCTGGGGCCCCGCTCGCCGTCTTGGCCCTGAGCGGGAGAGTTTCTTTCTGGTGGTCGTTGACGACTACTCTCGGTACACCACCGTGTTCCCTTTGGCGAAGAAGTCCGACGTGACTTCTACGCTGATCCGGTGGCTGCTCGCCACCGAGAGTACTCGCCGTCGTCGTGTCAGTTGTCTCCACTCCGACCGTGGGGGTGAGTTTCGCTCCGGCGTTCTCACCAGATTCTGTGCTGAGCAGGGCATCACCCAGTCCTGGACTCTTCCAGACTCTCCACAACAGAATGGGGTTGCTGAGCGCCGCTTAGGCCTGGTCATGGAGATTGCCCGCACCTCCATGATCCACGCCCGCGCGCCCCATTTTCTGTGGCCCTACGCGGCTCGGTACGCCGCTCACCAGCTGAACCTCTGGCCTCGCGTCTCTCGGCCAGGGGCTTCACCGACCAGTCTTTGGACAGGGTCCCCTGGTGTTGCGTCGAGGTTTAGTGTCTGGGGCTGCTTGGCTCTTGTCCGCGACACCTCTGCGGACAAGATCTCGCCTCGCGCCGTCCCCTGTGTCTTCCTTGGTTTCCCAGAGGACTCCTCTGACTTCACCTTTTACCACCCTCCCTCCCACCGGTTCTTTGACTCTCGTGACGTCCGTTTCGACGAGTCCGTCCCCTACTACGTCCGGTACCCCTGTCGAGGTCTCCCGGTTCCCCCCCCTCCCCTCTTCCTGGCTCCAGCTCCTCCTCCTCCCGCACCTGCTCCTCCGGTACCCCCCCCCTCCCCCCCTGTTCCCGCTCCGTCTGGTGTGTCCCACGCTACTCCCCCCCCCTCAGTACCCCCCCCCCGATCTCTCCTCCTTCCCCACAGTCGTCCTCACAGCCTCCGCAGCAGCCGTCAGCGCTTCCTTTACCGGCCACTGCGGACTCTGAGGGTGTTGGTGCTCGAGGTGAGGGCTCTGGCGGTGCTCGCTCTGGGGGTGCCGCCGCTGGCGTTGGAGCTGTTCGTGCACCTACAGGAGCCGCCCGTTCTGGGGGTGTTGGAGTTGGAGCTGAGCGTGCACCTGCCGCAGCTGCCCGTTCCGAGGGTGCTGGAGCTGGTGGTGGTGCTAGCGCTGGTGGTGTTTCTGGAGCTGGAGAGTCTGGGGCTGGTGCTGGTGCCACTGGAGGCACCACGACTGGGGGTGCGGGTCCACCTCCTACTGGTGCTGTTCGTGCTGCCGCAGGGGGTACTCGCTCTGGGGGTGCTCAGCCGGGTCCTGTCGAGGGCGGAGCCGGTTCCCCTTCTTCGTCTCCTGCCACCACTCCTCCTCCTCACTCCTACCCGACTCGACACCAGGCCCGTCTTCGTCTTGAGCGTGAGGAGCAGCAGCGTTTGGAGCGTGAGAGGTTGGAGGTTCAGCAGCGGGTGGAGCGTGAGAGGTTGGAGTTGCAGCGGGAGCTGCAGCAGCAGCAGCAGCAGCAGCCGCCGCCGCAGCAGCAGCAGCCGCCGCAGCAGCAGCAGCAGCAGCAGCAGCCGCAGCAGCCGGAGCAGCCTCCGGCCCCTGTTAGTGGCCTTAGGACCCTTGGTCTCCCCTCCTCTCCTCCTGTGTTCGGTCCTACGTTTCCTCCTCCGGACTCAGCTCCGGCTGTGTTCCCTCGTTCTCAGTCTCCTCCGTCTCCCTCTCCTCTCGCCCACACTTGGGCCTCTCGTCCTCCTCGTGCTCGTCCCTCGTCACCTGTCACTGACCTCTGTACCCTGTTGTCTCGTCCTAGTCCTCCTCGTCCTCCTCCGTCTGTTCTTCCTCGTCCTCCTGAGTCGTCCCTCACTGCCTCCCTGTCCACTCCGGTCACTGACTACTACCGCACGTACCGCCCCACTCTCTCTCTCGTGTTCTCGCCTCTCTTGTTACAGACCCCCGTGCCTCTCCTTCCTCTGTCGCGGTCCTCACTGCCGCTGTCACTGACTTTACTGCTACGCGTTGCCTTGACTACGCCACTCGTGTTGTGGCCGCTCCTCCTGTCCGTCCTCTGTCCGCCGGGGGTGAGTCTGCCCTTGGCTGTGCCGTCCTAGAGGATAGACAGTTTGAGCTAGAGTTCCTGGCAGCCGCTTCGCCTCATCTCTGTGCCATGCTGCTCGCTCCTGAGGGAGACCCCGACGCTCCTGACATACCTACTCCTCGCACTTACGCTGAGGCAGTGTCAGGGTCTTGGGCCTCTCAGTGGAGAGCTGCCATGGACGCAGAGATGGCCTCCTACAGGTCCACAGGCACTTACGTTGACGAGGTTCCCCCCCCAGGGGCGAACATAGTTGACGGCATGTGGATCTTCAAGGTGAAGCGGCCGCCGGGATCTCCCCCAGTCTTCAAGGCACGCTACGTGGCTAGAGGGTTCAGTCAGCGCGAGGGGGTTGACTTCTTTCAGACCTTCGCGCCCACCCCGAAGATGACCACTCTTCGGGTGTTACTTCACGTAGCAGCGC